CCTGATTCCCTGAGTTAATTTAATTGATAGTTTTTCATAAAGTAATGGTCGTTAAGTAAAATATTTAATTCGTGTCGTATCAAGTCATATATTTATATTATCATGCGTGCTGTATATGCTAGATATATTGTTGTGTATAACGCATGTAAACGAAAAGAACGGGGAGATAATATTTGTAATTGAATTGGAAAATCTGTTTACATTAACTTTATATTAAATTTGCAAGTATTATTTCTCATTTTACAAGTATTATTTCTCATTTTACAAGTATTATTTCTCTGTTTTTTTATAAATCACCATCAATAGCATTTGGCGCATTTATTTTTTTTACAAGATGGCACCTTTGTTCTAACGTATCCGGGATGCCCATGCAACGCTTCTCATTTCATGTCCTGTATTCAATAAATTGTGCTTGATAATAACTGAGTCATTCCTAATTAACCTTGGACACTGTGAGAATGGGTAATATCGTACAATTAAACGGATTGGTGTGTTAGGACATGATTCAAATGAATATTCAATTTATTTCCAATAAATAACACTCCAATGAAGTTATTAGAAGTTATGATGTGATCTTTTTGAAACTAGAACATTGGTCTAAAGTTCTGTATTTGAAACCAACCCGATAACCACTGCTGGTAGCGGCTTCCTATCGAATTAAAACAAATGCACAGAAACGAGCAAGGCGACATTAATTTATATTTGATACAACAAATATATTGTTCATTTCAATAATTGCACACACGTATCAATATTATAGCCTTTTGTATTTGAAATCATGCAAACATGACCAATATGTCAACCATTACACAAACACGCACAATAATGCAACCATACACACCTCATCTAAGTACTTTGTTATACGTTAATAGCTGCGTTCACATAATAAAACGCAATATCCGATGCGTTACAAGTACAATCGGTGTGGTGGGGGAAATGCCAGGCACATATGGTATAATAGAATCCTCGTTAGGTATTCCCATGAAAGGCAGTATGACCTACTACCTTACATGATATTTCCTATTCGATGGTTCATTTGTTTGAGATTATCTTCGTCGTCTATATGTGTCAGATTTTCTGTCTTACAAAACAGTTCCCATATACCGGATGTAATATCATTGGGATATATTATCTCAATGTGGTTTTGCACAGCATTGATCAATAAGACACAATTTATTTAACATTGCGTAAAAAATAAGACAGCAACATCTCACAAGGTGAGTGTAATAACAGTCGTACTTCAATGTATTTTGGCATTTTTAATTGCTAGAGAATTGTGTTTGTAACTTTGTAATCATCATGCTTGTGTTCACTTTTTGTTTTTCAAATTATTGTAAATTCATAGTTTTAGTGACCTTACTGTTGTACTCTCAAAAGTCAGTGTTCTGTTTGCACATAAATGAATGTCAGCTTATCAGATCGTGGGCAGTTGTTAAATATACGTTGATACTAACCAAGATGACGAGAGAATACCGCTAATTCCAATGAACGTCAAATTTAAACAGTCGCCGGGGTAGTTGCTAGTTATTCACAAATACATTGGAGTAGTTCTGAGTGGTCATCATCAATACATCTCCTAACACAGCATCGTGAAACTCGGAAATATATTAATTAACATTCACTATACAATATATATATCATAGATTATATCATAGATAGAGGCAATAGGATTAATTACAGTTGATTGCGGTGGACGAAAACAGTCTAATCAAAAACATCATCACAGATGCCAGTCAGACTTATCTATAATTTAACTTTTCATGAAAAAAAAAGTTGAATTGACCAGGATTGGCACTTACAGAGACGATTCGGTGGTCCTATTTCAAGTGCGATAGATAGTATGTAGGCGAAAAATTCAATCTTTCATTTACTTCAAATTGAACAACCACGAATTCCCGTTTTTATTTTTGCACACTTTCTAGCTTCCATGATCGTTTGTGTTCACAATTGAAGCGATAACTCACCAAATGGAAAAGGATTGTAAGAAAAATGTGTATTCTTCTTATCCTTATAGATGGTACCATTTGCCAACACAATGGATTTCTTTCTTATGCTTTAAAATCTGTTTTGATTCGGCTTGAATGCGTTGAGAAATCAAAAGAAGGACGTGTCTCCAAACTTGAACTTACTAAGCAACCCGTATCATAACAACAAGTGATTTAAGAGGATAATCCGAAAATCACTGAGGGGGCCAACCTCGGGCTGGAACAATGCTTTGAAAATGTAAGTTACGTTATCTGTATTATGGTGCATTTCTTTCCATTACATGGGGTTGTTCTTTTGTTTGTTTTTCTTTCAAAGCCATGTAAAAAAACTCCGGGATCTTAATTAAAATTGTTGCTGTAGTGACTATTTCACTTGTGGAATTGTCACCAAGCCCCCCCCCCCCCCACACACACACACACACATAGTCAGATTGTGACTGTGCCAATTCTGGTTTATATGATCCCAGTTTTGGGCTGATGTGAAATCATTGGATGCAAGCCACGTAGAGAAACTGTCATAATAGAGCTTTTAGCATGTTCTATGATGTGGATGTCTGGGAGGGGGTCTGTGGAGGAGGCACAACGTGTAAACTGATGAGAATTGACAGTACGATATTCTTATAGAACTCAGTGATCGTGGACGCCGTCTGTAGTATATTCACTTTAATGAGCAAGTTATTTTTTCTAACTGAGAATACTGAGTGACGCGAAGTTAATGTCTTAATCTGTGATTAAGGACCACAACAGCCGGCATGTGAATGAAGTGCACAACTATAGACTCTCATACAGAGCTGCGCTAATTCGCCTGTACTTGTTCCATCGAGTGTAAACAACAACAACAACAACCCCACTACATTGTGAGCACATCAATGGGAAATGCAACAATACAATGAGGGGTGAGGTGTGTCCGTTTCACCTCTCACACTCATTAAGAGTGGGAAAATGGGGATTTGTTGCTTGGTTACCATTGGGTGGACGACGCGTCCTGAATGGCGAGGAAGAGAGGGTTTACGCAAGAGTGGTTACTTTGACAGTTTACAATATAGTGAGCAGGTAATAAAAGAACTCAACTGATTACTACAAATCACCGAGTGGTGGGGGTGAATAGCGGCAGTCAGACTGTTCCCGGCATGTGGACGGAGGAAACAGCTGCCTTAGCTGGTTCTCGCCTAAGAAACTGGTGACACCGACATAAAAGGGTTCACCGGGAAACAAAAATGATGCAACATAAAAACGTCGTCGGCGTCTTCTGAAGCGGGCACGCGTTTAATAAATACACGTGGAACTTTATTGAGAAGTTGAAAAACTGGAAATTGAATATACATTCGAATTTACTAATCTTGCTTGAAGTATTGTTCCTAAGAAGTTAGTGCAAAGGGTGATTGACAGGTTAGGATTTTAATTGTGGTCTCTATTTGGCCGTGATTTTTCGCACATTAAAGACAGTTAAAAGACGATGTTGGTAGTTCTGAAAGGCCACTTCCAGTGACTGCGTCCAATCATGGTATGAAAGCCCACAAAACGCCCCATTCCAGCACTAAATATCCTTGCCTCAAGGCAGTAGGGTACAATGAATGATGTCGATACCTGGCTGCCTAATCCTTGGTGTTTATATAAGCTCTATTCTCATTAGACACTTCTGACTGGAGTTTGATTTTCCCGGATAATTGTTAGTCGTTTTGAAGGGCCATCAACAGCAGTGCGTACCCCCCTCCCCTCAACGCTAAAGAAAGTTGTCTGAGACACAAATCATTAACAACAAACAAACATACTAAAATATTCATATACGAGGATTGATGGTAACAACATAGTTAACATTTTAACTGATTTTTATTTTGTCGTCATGGAAATGTGGCGATAAATCCAATCTTATTTAACGCCAAAAAATACTTAACTGTAAGAAGAAAGTTTAAATATATTTACATGAATTAAAAATGCTACCACTGCACAGTATAGTTGCAAACATGATAATGTCGACAATTGTCATGATAATGTTCGTTATTATTATTTTTTAAATTGGTGCCATGTTTAACTACAATTGTCATGAGGACTCTCTATTACGTGACATCTTTACCAGAATGTCATTTTTTATTTTCATAAAGCTCCTAGATTAGAAAGAAATACACAAAAGCAGCTACTACACGACAGCATTTACTGTACAACACTTATATGAAATCTTGTTACTGGATGATATGTGAAAAACGTCAGTTTCCCAGTAGTGCAGTTCTGACAGCATATTGTGGGGTGGGAAGTTGACGTGCTTCGTTCCACCGAATATGCTCAAAACATAACTATGGAGGGCCCAGACGTTCTATTTCACTGTCACTGTGAATGGGTTTGTTTTGGTGTTATTCTACCAGTTGTCGGACAGAAAGTAAATACAAATAAGATTGACCCTTAATCAACGTAACCTGAAATACACAATATACTCATGACGTCACTTTTATTGATGCTATATGTATTTAGATATCATAATGCTAATAAAACGGTCGACGGCTATTGGATGATATCTAATAGCTAGTTAAAAGTGTGTATCGACACTCTACTAAGAAACAAGATAATGGTTCATTGCCAGAGATCCCCCGAATGACTCGGAGTCCGCACATGTCTCCAAAGACGCAGTGGCGGTTTTCAGATGCCCACGTTTCAACATCTCTGGTGGCTTTTTTCGACCCAATATTTATAAAACAAATAAAATTTACAACTCGTATATTTAGAATAAAAATTGTAGCTAGTACAATGACCAAGATAAAGTATTTACAATTTGCCAAAAATAGAGAAAATGGCAAAACATTTAGACACACCGACGTAACAAAGAAGCAAATAAAACAGTCGTTTTGAAATCGGTATGAATATGTATTATATTATATTCGTCGTAGTTTTTTCATACTAAAAGTCTCTTGCAGAATTTCCAAATAAATCTATCGTTCCCTGGAATAAAACGAGCGCTTTGGTGGGAAGTCGACGTTCGAAATAAAAATAAAAATAAACTATATTCAATAATACAAAATTGGTTCACTGATCATGTATACACGGTTGTGATTTGTCATTTGATAAACACGATTTACATCTACATGCGGATGAATACATTGGGAAGACACCTGAGCTGCCGTTGGGTGCTCTGTGTGGTTCTTTGTGACCATGTGACATCCCCCTCATCAGACCGCTAAAACTATAGTCCGTGACTTGTCTCGATGCCATGGCAGCGGGCATCATTGCTGGTGGATAAGGACTGACAAATGCAAAGCCTCGTGGGTGTGGCGCATACGCGAAACGAACTGCTGGGTTCAGACCCATCCCGACTGTAGTGTGAACACCCCTATCTGATGTGGGTATGGGAGAGAAGGCCGACTTAAGACCAGGTGAACTCAAAGGTGATGACGATAAATACGGCCGATGTGTTAGCACTGTTCCGTTTGAGGTTGTAGTCGCAATTGTACTGAAATGTTGTGCCGAATTGTGGTTGTTCAACACCTGTTCGATTGCCTGTACCACGTCCCCGTTACACCCTTGTAGTATAAGCTGTAGCACACTTCTTTTCTGACTAGGAAACACTGAAGCTAGAATCTCGATAGGGGAACGATGCGCTCGGGAGCTGTCTGTTGAGTTAAAGATACTGGATTCGTGATGTTTTGAAGATCGAGGCGGGGGTGGTGGGAGCGATGGCGAGGATCTCGGAGAATTTTCGTCCCTCGCTGAGTAGTGGTCTGACTTGACGTCGTCTTCACTTGTTGGACTGTGGGGTTCTTCCTTCGGTGTCACTGGTGTCATATCTGGAGACGCTGATGCGGTTCTTGCGTCTGCCGACGAAGACGGGATAATCCCGGGTGATATGACCCCGCTGTCGCTGGCCGTCGATGCAGGTGATGCTGATCTTCGGTCCGCGGTTATTGATGATGACGTGGTTGCGCTATTTACTCCGGGGAAGTTGAGATCCACCTTCTGTCTTTTCATCTCTGAAATAATTAATACGTAGATTAAGTTTATAATATAGATAACAGCACGGATTTGAAAGTTTGGGTGCATAAAAACACCACCGACTTTGAAAAAGAAATAAAATAAACTCGTGATGCTATGTCATTTTCAGTTCGTCTCCCAAGTTAGTACACTTCGGTTTGTGTTGTATAGACATTATAATGAGACATTGCAATTGACCATGTCGTTTTAACCTCATCTTATTGTGAAAAAAATAGAAATTTGACCCTCTATCAAAGAGCAGAACTTCAATTCTCCATTTTAGTCAAACTATATAAATCTTACTCATAAATAATATCACTGAAGCCCACTCATACGTGTTGGTCTTGAGTCCCCCGGCTAAGTGCAAAGAGTTAGGAAACTTTCTAATATTTTCATAGAAAAGTCTTTGAACAACTTAGAAAGTACATATCATTATGAGCCGTTAATATGGTTATCACCCATTCCTGCTCCCATTCGCGTGCTAATAAACAAACTCGAGTGTAAAATTGTAAAATCGCGGCATCATTTGAAAGTGAGTAAATAGTGAGAACATATTTTCGACTCGATTGATTCGCAATAAATATAAGTAAAATTGAATTGTTAAATCGATTGGGGTGGCCCAGCGTTTGAGAAGCAATTTGTGTGGAACGAACGCGGTATAGACATTAATGTACTGCCTAGAACCTTGCTGGAGGGGGGTATTTTGTCGAACTTGCGGGAAAAGGGTCTCATCAGTGGCGAAATGAGATTACGAAAGCTATACTCTGCCAATATGTAGTGGCAAATGTGATTACTGTGTATAACGCCGAGTTAATGGAGTGTTAAATGCGTCGTATATGTTGACATATTGTCTTAGCGGAAGAGATTCGTCGTTACTTACACCTAAAACACAAAAAGTGATTATAAAGGGCTCCGTGTTTAATTGCGAGATCGCAATCATATTGACTCCTGTTAATGCGTCCTGTACGGAGGCGCACATACTGGAACCGGCGCCGTGCGGTCCCTAAAGCCACTCGCAACTTTCTACGTAAAGAAACTAGCATTATTCATCCCCGCGGATTAAAACAGATGTGACGTTTAATATCGAATAAATTCAAATTATACGACCAAATGTAATTTTTATTTGAGGTTTTTTCATTATATTCCTTCAGAGGTTGTTTTGTAATGTATTCTCGGGCTCTATGGTGATTTTACGGCGTTCGTATTTAAATACGCGTTTATACGTGGAAGAGGAATGCATATTATATGATTCGGAAAGCGTAAAACTCAAATTGATTTTTTGCAGTGAAGACTTATGAAAATAATATGTTCACTTAGAGCCCTGCACGTTGTACGAGAATAGGAAATATACATTCATTACCCAGGCAAGTAATTTATTGATATTCGCGATGACTTTATCGCAAGTATGTTCATTATAGTCACGTTAGGGGGTACATCGTGAATAATTCATCGCGTGTGGGGGCTCTTTGCAAGGCTCTGTGTAAGTTAGTCGGTAATTAGTTACTCGAGTCTTTGGGTATTGTCATTTCAATGGCACAGTGAACTAGACCTAAATTAAACAAACATAAACTAAATTTAGCAAACATAAACTAAATTAAAACATAAATTAAATATATATATAAACTATATAACACCAAACCAAGCCACTCAGTACATTACGAAACTAAACAAAGAAAAACATGGGAATAAATACCAACACAAAACTCAACAAACCCAAATCGATCCAATTCCAAACTAGACAACTAAACATAGCAAACCCAGACTAAACCAAACAACCGAGGTAATTTAAAACCAAATCAAGTAAACTATTCAAACTTTAGCAAAACTAAACTAAACCATTACAACTTTTAAAACAAAACTAAACTATTAAAACTTTAAGCCAAATCAATTAAAACTAAACAAAACGTGTAGTGGCAATTTTAAATAATTTGCACGTGATTCTCCATTTGGCGGTAGTGGAACGAGAGTCCGCAAAACATTTCAAACGAAGCTAAAATTAGTGTAACAAGTAGAAACACGATGAAGTGTTCTTTTAGAAACACTTAAAACAGTAGTAAAACATAACATATTTTTACAAATTGGTCACTATTGATAATATTTCTACGCTGTCATTGTGAGAAGCGTCGTACGTTCTGTGAGCGACTACATGGAGAGTGGCCCGGAACAAAGAAACCCACGACTCCACTCACTGTATTTAGCTTCACGCTATAATTAATTAATTCGTTCATTTTTTTTTTTTTTTATTTTTAAAAAGGAGATCATTCTTTATTTGTAATTGATCCAGGATCGTTGTACATGTGTAAATTATTAAGTAGTCTAGCATAATGTACAATATACTGTACGCTTCTAGACATTCCATCAAAATCACCGAAGCCCCAGAATTTAAAAGAAAAATATTTCTGTTGATTACAGTTACTGTATCCAGTTTGATATCATCTTCGCGCACGTGCGTGCACGTGTAGTTGAATAAGTGCCCAGTTTAATTAAGTTATCAAAATACTCTGAAGTTAAAAGCAGACACGTTTATTTTTACCTATACATATCCTGGGCAACGTCACTGGTTAGAATGGATACGAAACACTTTAATTTAGGGACTTCTCTCGAGCACACTCGTAAGAAATATAAAGCCGCATGCAGAACTTAACTATATAACGCCGTCTCCGTAAAGTCGATATTATTGTCGCACGTCTTTCTGATTCAAATCGGCGAGTTTCATTTGATTCGAATCAAGCTGCGTTTTTGTGTTAACTCGAGGACTGTGGAGCGTACCACCACACGTGTATTCATTACGGAAACCAATCTCACGCAGCTAGCCATGCCGAAATAATCTGCGCAATTTCCAGCCCACAAAATATCCGTGTTTTCGTGCTCAATTTTTAGCACGTTTTTCCAGTTATTTGCTACACTGAATAGCCTGTGTTGGTAATCGTTGGTGTAGTACAGAAAGAAAAAAAAACATTATTTGACCGGAACGCAATAATCAGACATCCACACATTTTTATTTTGTTTTAAAATCGGCGAATCGATTAGTCTTCGATAAGGTGAGCGAAGACAATTGCCGTATGTTACCGTCCATACGTTACAACTAGTGTACGGCGAATGAGCAGCACGCTCAATTCAGAAAAGCCACAAAACTTCTTTGTTCCGGTGATAGACGCGCGATTCTACCCCAATTTGCATTCCAAATGACGATTAAACGATCCCGATTTACTAATAAAAAATGAAAAATAGGAAATAGAGGCTGTTGAAATTGACGGAATATCAATTCACTTAACGAGTACACTAGACTCACTCGGATCCAATAATCGCTCCCATTCACCGGGAATCTAATAACGCAGTCGCCGGAGTTACCACGCAGCAATTTCGGAGTGTTTTTGTCCTCGTCAAGAGTCGCGTCAGTAGCAAGACGTCGACAATGGCTGGAAAGAAACGACGAATTTCATTTCCGAAATACCAGATTTAATTATTTGCCGCACAATCCATCAAAAAGCAATCATTGCACCCGATTTCTACCACTTTGCTACATCACCGGAAATACCACATATTTATTAAAAAATCATCCGCTGTAAGTATGCCTACAGAATCTAGCCATTTGCCATTACTTTAATGAGTGCCTGCATTCCGAGTGTTTGGTGGGGTTTGATTGCCATGGCAATAGCTTAGTTATAAATTTCGCCAAATTACTGGAATATTAGCAAACATGATGGATTTCACATCCGGGTAATTTGTGAGTCCAATACAATATCTCTTAACTATGCAAATAGGTAACATGTTAAATCCTGATTGCTCTTCCTCCTCGTCACATGCCAAAACGATAAAATTGTTTCATTCAAGCTTGTATTATAAAAAAAATAGTTTCTTTGTTCTGATACATCGAGATGTGTTTTCACACGAAAATGTAAACACGAAAACAAAACAAAACAGAAGGAAACGAAAAGATAATAGTACGTGCCCAACGCCACTACGTTATTTTAGTTATTAACTGTTTTAGTATTTATAAAAAAAATGGTAAAAAAGCATTATAATGTTGATACCCATACATTCAAATAAAGCTGTCAGTCTCCATATTCTGTTTCATAACTTGAATTTAAATTTATTGATTTCACTTAAAAGTTGGAAAATTTCACAGTCCCTGTTATCGACGATTTTTTAGTCGTTTTTATTTATTTTTTCATTTTTTTTTTATTTAAACCATTTTAAATATTATCGCGCACGACTTACCAGACTTGAATCAATTCTGAGTCAACCCTGTCAGTGGTATAGTAATAACGAGCGGCGATGAAAAGAAAGTCGTATTGCCGGCCTGCACGTCGTTGCAAGGCGACGCCACAGTCAGCGATTATACAAGTAATAGATATTGATATATCACAATGATGGCAAACCAGGGGATACATCTTTCCTTGACAGGTATCATACCATTCTATAGAAGTCTACTGCAAACTATTTAACCAGATTGTGGCTTGACTAAAGAGCTTTTCACCGGTTTCCCCGCGTGTACTTGATCACCGTATAAAAGACTCAAATGGTCTGCGATCAACCGCCCAGTCGAGCGATCGATTTTTTTTTTTCAAAATCACAACAGTGGTTTTGAAACAGCCGCATTTATCGATAACTATCGCTGGTTTTTCAAAACAAAAGAGTTTCGTTTTATGAAATGTTTTATAATAAATGAGTTACTGTGCAATATGGAAGGGGCCTACATCCAAAGTATGGGCTTAACAGATTGCGTTGCCCGATGAACGCCGGTTCCTTCACGCCTCAATCTTTTGCGAGAAACGTCGAAAGTGTTCTTTGTTGTCATCTTACACGGTTTTGGTTTAGATAAATAATATCAATCTAATTTGTTAAATTTTCTTCAGATCCACGAATAATGTGAGTTCTTCAGAGTTCAAGCCCCCTGCATCGCGGCGTGTCCCATGGGAAACGGAACACACATTGAAGCACATTATTCCAGCACTGGCAACACTGGTATTCACAGGGAAATTAGTCGGACCAGAACGTGCACAAGGTATATCTCAGCGTCGTACAAAGGTCGTTCTCGGTGATTATTGCAAACATTGTAATAATATAATTGCGTTTTCATATTTCCAAAAACGAATCCATGAGGAGATAGGGGAAATCCTGAAGGCCATGGGGGCTCATCTTTGTACACATACACGCGAACGTTTTGTAATTTATAAACACACAAAAGACAAAAAGTTTCAGAAAAGTGTTTTAGAAATTTGAGCGTCAACTCGTCTGAAAGTAAATGTTTTCAATTTTGTTTATTTGGCATAAACATAAGTCTGTAAAAATTTATGTGACGAAACTTATTCTGCTTCTCATGTTATCGCTAGCCGAGCAAATGTACCCGTCATAAACGAATCATCAAACGTTGGTAACAAATGAAGCGGCGCCAAACAGAATAACTGTATAAACTTATTGTTCTAAAATCATTAATTTATTTGACGAAATAACTGGTAATTGGCTGTTTAGTTTAAGAGTTCGAAACAGTCGTAATCTTACCCAGATTGACAACAGCGAGAAGCCCAAATTCGGTGTCAACTTTCGCATTTAAGTTATTCGGTAATAAAAAAATAACGTACAAAGCAGTTTTAATATTCCGTGTTTGTTTTCAAAGTTTTGCCAGACTGTAGACTTTAATGTGTAACTGTGACAGTGAGTCTCTGATCGGAGATAACGGTTCCAATTTGTTGATAGCCACTTGAAACCATTTACTCAACGAAGATCGATAGCATATCAAGTCATCGACCGATCGCCAAAAACTCCATGTGCACCAGCTCGCTTGAAATTATCCCGCTAAGAGCGGCCACCAACATAGTTAGAGTGTGTACCGGTGGACACCACCAACAGTGCGATCAACTGAAAGTTTGGCCGTTCCTAGTGAAAGTGTCCGGTATCAACCAGGCGCATTAGCTTCAGAACATTAACTTCACCAACAAAGCAACTTCAGTTTCGTTTTCAAAAATCACATAAACGCTTTCATGTCGATGTGATCGTGACTCATTGGTAGAAATCTTGACTACATATGCGAGTCATTACGCGGCTACTCGGCGTATAACGGTGGCAAACAAACAGTCCTTACACGTACTCATGCACAAATATTGAAGTGTCGGAACTTTTTTGCTTTCAAAAATAAGTGACTATTCATTGTGAACGAAGTCAGTTGCCGATCCACCCTATAAACTGTCTAAAATTGTTTTGATCTGTACATGAAGGTTACATCATACTTTAGAAACACAAGTTAATATCCGGATAAACGTATTCTTCCAGGCTCAATGGCACCAGTGACAATTAAAAAAACAGATTTTCGTTTTCTCACTTCTTTGTTATTAACGAACACACCAGAGTGTTCTTATCGAAGGTTAGTACAATCAAGAGCTGATACAAATGAAATAAAAATAATTAGTTCTTTCCATGACTAATAGTTCTCTATTTAGTTTTGTTTTTAACTGATCGCGTGTTGTTTTATTTCATTGTTTTCTTTTCTGCATTTTAAACTTGGAGTTGATCACATGTGAGTGACGCACACATGTAGTAACGCACTATATTGTATGTTTCAATGTTGTTTTATTTATACATCGTTATCCGATTACATCGGCGAATTCGTACATACGGCAAGTTGTCAATTTAATGTATAAGTACATTCCTTAAAAAAAATAACGGCTTTGCTTCCCACGTTTACGACGACCTTTCCCCTCTCTGTTCAACACGATTCTGTGTTTAATTATGTGATTTGTTTCCGTTTTCTGTAAATTTGTTTTGTAATTGATTAATTGGACAATCGATTAAAAACTAAGCACCTTGAAATAAACGTGAGAATAATTAAGTGGACACATTATATAGTAAATAAATAAAGAACTATCAGTATTGAAGTGGATTTTTTGCGTGCTTTGCTTGGTGTATAGTACCAACTTGCAGTGAGGAGTTAAGTTATGCAGAAATTTCGCAATGTGTTTGGTTACTGTAAGTAACGATTTTGATAACTTAAAATTATAAAAAGTAATTAAGCGAAACTTGGATCTGAGTGTAGTTGTCTTGATAGTGCATGTATAATAATAATAATAATACCAACGCACAATAGTGCCTATCACTTACCTGGGCTCATTGGGTCAGTATCGTTGGGTGGTGTCGCCCGATATGATCCATATGTTTTTGATGTCGCCGCAGCTGATGAAGCGTTCATTGCAAATATTGCACTTTCGGCGTTACCATATAAGAAGCCCAGCTCTCGAGCTTCGTTTTCTTCCTGCGCCTGCTGACGCCTGAGTGCAACTTGTGCGGCCATGACACGCTGTCTCTCTGCGATCAGGGTGCATTTGGCGCAGACACAGTCCCGCCATCGACAATAGCGTTTGTGTCCCTTCAGTGCTGACACCACGCCGTGGTTGCGACAACGTGCACACTTCGGTGTCCGCGGGTACGGCTTCTCGGTTCTAATGAGCAGCGTTGGCGGCTGCTGCTGGTGGTGGTGGTGTCCCGCCGCCGATGTCGATATATGTTGCGATCGAGATTGTTGCTCCATGTGGTTATTCAAACTCATCCTGTCTGCAAGTTGCCGTCAGTCGACTAGTGACCGTGGACCAGTAAATGAAACGCCGACGATAGCAAGTTTTGGTGTCCCCAATGTTGTACACTCACAACCACAATACTGTTAAAAGTGAGTTACCCCTACTCCGTTGACTATAAGCCTCGTTCAACAACGTCGCTTGTTAGCGCCGCCCTCTTTTGCCGGTTCGGTACTTATTTGTTTTACCAGAAATTGAAAAGTCGCTCCCAGTGATGCGTATCGCCGAGTGTGATTGGTTAGTGTCGAACACCCCGACTTTTAATAGGCGTGTGGTGATTGGTGGAGAGCTGCAAGAAGCTGACAGTTAGTCGTTTCACTGGGATGAGAAAGAATGGTAATGGTAACATCAACAAAAGTAGCTGACTAGGTCCTGTATATTTAAATGATTGGTTATCCAGTGACGATGACAGTTTGTTTTACTGACCAAACCCTTACACAGCTTGATGACTGTGGCATCCGATAATCCCACACACAGAAATACCTTCACGAGTCTTCACCCACTGCATGTACGTACAAATTCAAGAAACAAAAGTGGAAAAAGTCGTGGACTTTTCACGGTTAAATATCAATGATTAAATCACTGATAAGGTTTACGTGATATCCCTGGTACACAGACTGGAGTCCGTTGTTGGTCACTAGATGTCAATCAAATAGCAAGGAACTCTTGGTGTTTTCACAAACTATTTGCACGCTTTCGCTGCAGGCTTCGGTGACGCTGTGTCATCGTTTACTTAACAGTCAAGCCAATTACCATAATCTCTATAGCTAACATCGTAAATGCTAACACTCCCAAATGTTTTCGGCTTGGGAGCAGTGTCACCCTCCTCCCTCTCCCCTCCCCTTTCCCTATCCATCAGGACTCTTAGTCAAATTCGAGACTGCGGACCTCAGCGCACCATCTCGTGTCTAAAGCAGTATCGAGAAATACACTAAGCACCTTTTTTTGAAAACCAAGACATTCGCTGCTGCATTTGTTTAATCCTAAACAACTTGCAATAATATGTCTTGAACATCGACGATATCAACAACACGAGTGCAGAAAACGCAACATTATCAAACCAAGGCCGAGCTCGTGATATGTCACTTGACACTATGCCCATTTCAAATACCTCGCATAACTTAACCTGTGAATTCTACTCTGCTATCTGAGGTTACTGACGATTACACTCCCTAAAACATGGTACCGGGCCGCACTATGAAGCATTCTAGTTTAACGTATATTAGGTCGTTTCCGTGTTAAGGATGTAGTACACTAATATATATAACGGGATTTCCTTTTCAGATGCTAGAGACCAGCCTAAAACGTGTTTAACTTTTCAGAAGGCGAATCTTTTTTTTTTCTTTCCTTGCATAAAAAGCACATACAATCCGGGCTCTATGAAAACATCATCCCCACCCCACTGTATACAAAAGCTAGTAGAGACGGCGATGAAAAGGGGACAAAAACGTGCTTTCAGTGGCGATGGCAAAACCTGTTTTGTGATCTAAAAAGGTAATTGTGTACCATCAGGTCAGGCACTGAATGGCTCGTTGTGTGTGTGTTGTTGGTTTCTGTGCGATATAAAGACATCACCGCACAATAAATTTGCACATGCTACAGTGAGCGAATTCATAAAACCTGAAAGCTCTATGTGGTGTGTATAAAGTTATTCAACTACCCAATGCATGCGATCGCTCTACCCTGTCTCTCTCACATCGCTCGTTTGTCCCTTTTTTTTCTAAGGCGGGTTTTCCGTAGTGATTCCACATTTTTTTCTGTTATATTGCTAAACAAATTACCAAACGTGGTACAGCATTTCAGTCACACGACACAGACGACTGGTTTGTTCACCGAAGATCACTTTTTTTTTTCTTTTGCGAGCCATCACAATCGGGGTCTCCGTACGTAACCTCCGAAATACCCAGTGGTCACTTGTTCCAGACCATTATACATTAAAGTTACCCGGGTCGTAGCCTCGGAACTTCATTCAACAACTTTCCCTCCCCTAACCCGTTATATGTGATCAATAAACAAGATGACCAAACGAAAAAAAAAGACTTTGAAGTGAAAAGACGCGATTTGAAAAGGAGCTCTGACTGGAATCACCAACACTACGACAAAAATGTCCCCCTTCTCCTCCCACTTATGATAGATTTTGAAATTGTGATATTTTTTTTCAAATTATAATAATATAAATGAAGTGCTAATTTGTAAACGTATCTAACTGTGTTCACTCTTTTGCTGGCTCAATAATAATAGCGAGTTAAATATGCTTACATTGAAGGATGGGACTATTAAGGCTAATTTCGGCAAACGAACAATGCCGCTACCAGTCACACCACCACACAAGGGTTTTGGTCCATTCAGTCTATAAAAGAAAAAAAGAGGTACAGTAGCCACTGCAGGGAGAAAAAGAAAGATCGAAGTCTTTGTGCACATTGTTAGGTGTATAGATTATTTGATTTCTCTGTATAGAGTGCATATGAATAGCGTGATTTCAACCGAACAACACGATTAGAAGACGGGCACAATACTGCCAAAACACACATGCCGGTTTTGGCTGCTCAATCCCTCGGCTCGAGAGAGTAAATTAGTCATGTTACAAGACGTCCCTTGCCTCATTATAAACCAACTTGTTGATTTGTTGGAGTTTACGAGGTTCTTCTGTTCTTAATTAGTCGAGAGAGATTAGTGATGTGCTTCCCTCTGAATCTGTTTCCTTCTCCGATGAAACAGCATCGGTGTATTTTTACTACCTTGTGAAAAATACATCAACAAGTCTGATCAACATTCCCGGGAGTAAAAATGTCAGTGCTTTCCAAGAGAGCTATGGCAACGCCGCTACCGTGTACTTACAACTGGTTTTAATTTAAATTGATGATTGCCATGGCAACGTAAATTGTAAATATTACCATGAGACCATCAATCGTGATCTTCAATGTGTATGCTCTAAAATGCTGGCGGTTAACAGAGAAACGTCACAGCTCACATCAACACTTGGTTACGCTTGCATTTCCCCACCCATCTTTGTTGTTTTCTTCTTCACGAAATTGTTGCATTCGTTAGTGTTATAATATGCCTGTGTAACGCAACGTTGGGCACTCCGCCGTGTTCCATTCTATTCAATCAGTCGTCCCTTACTGATTTTGTAATTGTCTTATTAAAAAACATCTTAAGAGGAAACCCGTGAATGGGTTGTAAGTCGAATCAAGTCACCCCCTAAGTTCTCGCGGTTACTCGGTGCCATCTGCTCAAACCGACACGACAGTACAGGCAGCCTCGTTTATTGAAAAGTTTGATTTCTCGGCGACGTTTTCAGCCGCGCTTCTCTATATAGCGGTGGTGTCCATGCGGCCGTCCCCATCGCTTAAACTAGAGTCTAACGTTTGTATAGAAGTATATAAAAAAGAAAAAAGGAATCAGTCCAAACATCTGCCCTGAGAATTGTCTGTGATGAAGAAAGTAGACATCACACAATTTGACAGTTTGCATTGTGCTATTTTGTCATGCCAAGCAAATAAAGAATGACCTTCGAGAGACAAAAAGCCAGTTTGGCTCTTAATTGGTTGGGAGTGAGCTTGACGCTGTATGTGAACTACTCGCCTCGGGGCAATCGAGATATCTAGTGTGACATGAATAGACAGACATCACGATAGCTGACTGGGGCCAATTAGATCATTGCACCATCTTTCTTATGTTTGTTACTGTTCAGGCGCCCTGATACCCTCGCTTGCAACCGATCGTAATCTTTGAAATTGTGGCTCTTTCCCCACGGCCGGCTGCTCTCAGATAGTCAAACGTGGCCTAAATTGGTGACAGAGACAAGAGTTGGCAGAAGAACTCCGCTAATATTCAATTTATTTTCCATAATACAATGTGCTGTCATGCAGGGTTTACTTTACGGGGTCCTCAAGCCAAGTTTAGCGTGAAGTTCGGCTACGCCCTAAAAACAATAACAGACAATGAAAGAGCGTCCTCTGGCAGCCAATTCTACAGCCCTCTGAACAAATTGCTCTCGCTAATTGCGCTGCGAATTCTTTTATATATGAGGGGTTGTTTTTGAAACCGTTAAAAACTGCAAAACGTCGAACACTAGAACTTATCCGCTATGGGGAAGAGAGTTTTAAAACGACAGAAATAAGCATACATGACTTACTGGGTCGTTGGGGGTTTGTTTTCCGTTTATGACACACAGTGTGGAGAAGTCGTCTTTTGTTGGGTGTGTTTAGAGTGTACGGTCAAGAGATAGATTTGGTGTGTAAACAAAGTTACACAAGAAAACAAACATTTTAACAAGCGAGATGTATTTGTTTAGTGCAGTCACCTGTCATTGCCGGTTTCCTTTGTGTGTTAGTAAAACTGCAGTTGATGAGTTCGCTAAGTTGTCACTCTGTCAGCCTTAACAGTTGTCGACCGCCACGGCCGTCACACGCTCAATTTAAAATGAAATGGTACATTTCGTTTGAAATATCACCAGTCTCACTCCCACATAGTCCAGGCTAGTCACATAGATATGAGTGCATTAAGAAAGTGTCGGAAATGATGATGGAATTCCAAAAATCTTTGTTTTCAGATTTCAGAATTTCAAACATTCTCAGCGTTTCATGTGAACTTCAAAAGGTCAACAATCAAAGGGGAAAAAACAAAGGTTTAGCCGGCATTTTCAAATGGGTAAAGTTTTTATTTTATTTATTTATTTACTATTTATTTATTGTTTGTCTGTGTTTGTTTTTTTATTTTGTTTACTGGCGATGGAACCCGACGACCGTACGAAATATAAAACATCTCTTATAAGTGTATTAGTGTTTACTTCCACACTTGGTTACGGGGCCGAGTGGATTTTATCTTCTTTAACAATTCTTTAAAACATGTTTCCGCGTCGGTGACTCCGTTATAAAAATACGTAGTTAAATTTGATTTAAGTCGTTTTGTGCGTTCAACAAAATGGTATATTTGTTTGCTGATATTAATTTGTTCAACTCTTTCAGCAGCGGAATACACGCCCCCGAAAAACATAAGTACATTGAAGGAGGTAAAAAAATAATTGCTCCGTTAACAACAAGCTGGCCAGTGATATAATTACGCTGGTGC